ATCTTCCATATGTTTAAAACACTAAGGGTTTTCTTTTAGAAATAATATAAAAAATTCGAATGAAAGGTACTGGGTGCGTGTATTATAACTTACTCTATAGTTTTATAGTATAAACAATAAATTTTAATTGATTGATAATTCCGGTTGCTTCATCTGCTAAGGTCATTATTCCCGTAAGTGCAGTGCGTGTCATTATTGCGGGAGGTGGCGGTGATCTTCCCCCGCTGGATGGCGAGATGAGATGCGGCGCCGATCTACGGCGGCTTGCCGGTTTCTCCCAGCAACGTGACACCGCCCCAGCCGGATCAGGGTTTAAGCTCTCGACGAGTGTGGTAGTGTAGTGCATGTAAATGAGTGCAAGTGTGCGTAAGTAAAGGGTGAGGATATGACATGGAAAAGGAAGGAAAGAAAGCGGGCGATCCGTATCCCGTTTGCTAGGTTAGGTCTACTACTACTTACGTTGATCGGAGAAACCACGTAAAACTACCGATCAGAACAGCTGTCTGCTATAATTCTCCTCCAGATAATAGAAGAATTTGACCTAGTTATGAACTAGTGTCGAAAATTCTACCATCGTCGGGACTCGAACCCTAAGACCTCCTAGGGCCAGAGGCTCTGCAATGACATCATACTCTGATCTCTCATTGAGCTCTGATTCTCTGACCCACCTAAGCCGATCTATATTTTTTAAATCTTAGAATGATTTATAATCTGCCCTAAATTGTCTTTAGACCTACGTAATTTTCAAGACCTACTTCATCGTGTAGTTGGAATGTAATTGGTCTGGTCTGTTTTGTTGTGTTAGTTGTGTGAGTAACAATCAGTTACAACTGATCTATCAAAAGTAGTTGACGTATCGTAAGGTTACAGTTACAGAAGCGAAGATAGCGATGAGAGCTTTTCGAGTTCGAAGATTGAGTGTTTTTAAATGACAAAGGTAAGTGAGTGTAATGCTCAGAAATAATTTGACACGTGTGTCCCTTTACAAAAAAATCAGTGTTTATAATCGTCTGTACATTATGTTTTAAAGGATGGTGGATAATAGAATTTCCTGCTACATCCATGTACAGATCTTGGTAAATATAAAGAAGTTCAATTACATTTTCAGAAACGTAATTAGTTCTATGTTCACTGTGACTGTATTCCTCCATAATTCGTAATCATCATTTCTTTGATCTTGGAAAATAAGTATTGAACGACAAGAAACAATATTTTGAGGTTTATTTATAGTGCATTACATGTTTGCTTTTCCATTGTAACTTTTCTACGGATCTTTTGAGCGATGTGATCATATAGATCGCAGGAGTTCAGCTAGTTAAGAGTAATACTCATATACTATCAAAACGAACTCGTGTGAACATTTTGTAAATAATTGTTTTAAAAGTGATAATAGCTTCGTTATGAATTCCAACGTCGGATGGCCAGCTCTATAAATGTGTGTTAATGCATTAAGACTCATCAACACGGTTCTATTGATGCGCCAATTTAATTTTACATAAATTTCGAGGTCTATTCGATGGAGTGGTATTCGCGCATATGTTCCTCCCCGTGTTCCCCTGTTTCTCTACGCGATCCCCACATGACCATTGCATGTTCCCGCGTATTCCCACATATTTGAAAACTAATCTGCAAATTCGAACACTTAAGTTCAGTGCCATAGTCTACAAGATTCTAGATAAACAATCGTATAAGCAATTTTTCGATTTCGCAATTTCATTTTAAGTCCTGAAATGGAATTAATATTGAACTTAAATATTTTATAGTATAATGCAAAGAAGAAACTCTTTTGTTCACGTTGTTTTACATGAAAGTATTTTCAATAACTTTGAAAGTCAACAGTAAATGGGTAGTTTATTCCTGTATTGAAACCTATAAGACTCTGAATTAAGGGGAAAATGACTTACTTTTTTTAAATAAAATTTCATCATATATAATATTTTAATTAAAGAAGTATTTTCGGGGGTAATTATTGCATTAATATCGCATAATTAATAATTTATCACACTGAACAAAGATCTATATTATTATATACAAAATTGTTATAGTAGCTAATAAAATAATTGTTATAAAATAGTTTTACTTCTAGTTTACGTACGTATATACAGAGTATTATACGTAGTGTAAGAGGAAGTCATGTCATGTTACGGAAAATCGATTCCGAGATTTTAATGAAAACAGCTGCATTGGGCTCACCTAATGCGAAACGCAAACTGACGAGGTTTATTTGCATAATTATTAATTCAAGATTCGCAGCAACAACTAGAAGTTCTATTAATAGTACTTCTAGTTGAAGACGAAGTCTAGATGAAGACTGTTTCTTATGCGTGTATGAAAACATTCATTTAACATTTTTGCTGAGGTCTACAAGTACTGTGTACCTAATTGTGGAGGGATGTGGGTACAGTAAAGGGTGAAGACATTTCTTGTTAGATTTGGTGTGTGTTCTACCTGTACCAGTATTTACGTTATCAGCAGTGATTCGGTGAAACGTTCAAGTCAGTGTGCTCAGTCTCGTAGTTTTCTCAAGAGTAAAAGCTTTTTTTTTAAAAAAAATTTTCGTGGCTATCTCCAAAATCGAAGGGAAGGATGGGTACATCCGAAACATTAATATGCGAAAGTTCTCGAACGTGTACGCTAGTTTACATTAAAAGGTATATTTTTTATTTAACCATCCGCTATAGAGCGCATTCTACACATGTTTCGTTTATCTGCATGCTTTAGTTGGGTGTCAAAACAATATTCACGCCCCAACCGGCCCCGCCTCTTCGCCCATATGTATTGCAGGTTGCATAATTTCTAGTAACTGCCGCAGCAATGCACTGATGAGTCTAGCTCTCTAGTGTGTCGAAAATCAATTGCATCGTTTGTTACAACTATACCTCCTTTCGTTATTAACTTATAAAAAAACCTTTCATCGAATCAACATTTGTCCCTACTTCAATACTTTATTCGATTTCTTTTTCGAAGTTTGTAAACTACTTCTAAACAGAAAAATAAATGAATTTTTGAAAAGAAAGATAGAAAACTGTATATTTTTCATATGCATGACATGTTGAGGGAATGATTCTAATTTATTTGGGATCGAAACAATCTAAAGGTATTCGACATCCGGTGTTCATTTAACATCCGGAATTCGGCGAGGCACTAACGTCAAATCTGGGCTACTTTTAGAATCTGGCATCCGTCGTAACCTGTGTATATACTATTTATCACAGTTATACATTAGCCATGATACTGCAACGGTCCGCGAGGACTTCTTCATTCCATGAATTAAAGAAATTACGTAATTGAATAATACGTCAGCTGTGCGGTCATGGCTGGCGCGAAATAAAACTATATTTCCTCCTTTCTGTAGCCTCCTAGATATTCATGTAAATGTATGTGAAATGATCGTGACATTCGTACTGGTTGCATTGGCAGAAACTAATATATCAATAAAATGTTATTTCTTCAAGTGAGTTACAAGTATTAAAAAATAATTGTGGTTAATTATAGCCTGTGACTGTGAAAATACTAACTTTATTTGTTTAATGGAAAACCCTTTCGTAATGTATTATGCATTATTGTCGTAATAATTAAACACATAACAAGCCACGAATTCTGTTCTCAGAAATAAATTTTCTTAGGCATTATTCAAGTACAAGATAATTTTAGAAACGAAGTTATACGAAACCATCAGAAGCCGTTTCAAAGATTAGATAAAATAACATAAAAGGGTAGAAATAATTTTTACAGAATATGTGGAATAGAACGAAAGGGAGAATGATAGGAAATCGACAAATGAATAGTAGAAAAAATGACTTAAGTAAAGCAGTTGCGAAACAATAACGTAACACTGGTAAAGCATTGAAAGAAGAAAAGTTAGAACAAAAACAGCAACAAGTTTTTTACTCACTATTAATGACTTCTGATTTTTTTTTACTTTATCGCCCTTACGTAATAGTTGTAGAGGTTTTAAAGAATATGATCCGTACGTATTGGGAAACAAAGTATAACAGTTCCATCTCAGTTTAAAATTATTTTATTACGGGAACTCCATTAGACGCTTTCTTTTAACTCCTTGTTTCCAAAAATTCTTCAATGGAAAATGTAGAATGAGATAACAAAAGAATACAGAAAATAATACACATCGAAGATTTTAAAAGTGCAACGTGAGCTCCATTTATATTAGTTTTACCATTTCACCAATTGGAAAATGTCTTCAAATTTATTTCCGTTGACGAAATTATCAAGGTGTAACTCCCTCAAAGTTTAACCTAATAAGAAAGTTAAGAAAATAAGATATTTTAGATTCAACATTAAATGTTACCTCTTATCATGTAAAAGTACATTTCAAAAGCCTATTATTTCGGTGTTAAATATTCAGCTTTTATAGGGCCGATATTACTTACCAAGTACAAAAAATTACACAACGTACTAAAATGAGATTTCAAATACTTTTTACTAACAAGATTACTTTCTTTTAGTTCTACATGTTTACACGCGCGACTTATGTATATGAAGAGGACTCATGATAGAAGCAAAACTTGCCTTGAATTATCATGATTCTCGCTAAATTTATTTAATAGTTTCATAAACACTTGCCGTTTCACTTTCCTACTCGCTTTGAATCATAGGGTATCAAAACTGAAATTTCATTTCCCAATAAAACAATATCTTTCATTTATGACAAGTAAAAGAAATTAATTAAATAAACAATTGTATGTTAATTCTTCTTTCAAATAAGCAGAATCGTTAAACGAAATTTTACTTTCACTTATTTTATTTCTCCACATCCTTCCTATAAAATAAAATGAACGTTGAAAAACTTCAAGAACGTAAGAAAATAAGATATTTTAGTATTAAAGTACAAAATCCCCTTCGTGCCATCTACATTGATAATTAATTAAAAATTGAACAATTTAGGTACCTGCTAACGTACTGCCTTTTTTTAGCTAATAGGAAAACGGAGATGAAATAGGTGGGAAAGGGAATAGACGTGGAAGTAAAAATTATTATGGTTAATAAATAAGGTATTTTATTATTTCGTTACTAAATCACATTGTTTCAAAACTTGTTCTACAAATTAAAAATAAAATATGAAAAACAATATAACAAAATATTTTAACGTTTTGAATATGCATTAAACGTCAAGACAATAACATTAAAATAAATCACGAAACTCTCACAGGAAATATGAAGTACACACAATGCAATTTACTTTTTAATGTCGTAATAAATAAGTACCTACATTCCTTCCTCCCATTTTTAATACCTATTTAACAGATCTAACAATACTGAAACCTCAAAAGTACGTGAGGCACTTTGTAAAGTCATTTAACTTCAAGTACTATATACAACCTTTTCTTTCAAATTCATCCAGAATATTCTGAAATTGATGACGAAACCTTTCTCCCGATAACCATTCCATTTCTGATTTTCCTTGAGCCACGTTCTCGAGATCAGGAGTTTTTTCAGGACCAGAAAGCACTGCTGGTAGCATCATTATTGCATTAATAAAACCATAAAATTCATTCTCTACCATGGCTTTATCCAGCAAGTCTGTTGTAATGCTTACCGGCAAGTTTAAGCGCTGAGCAACACTGGTAAACTCTTTACAATACTCATCCAACAACAAGAGTCTGTGATTCAATCGAATTTCTTCTTGGGGGCTTGTATACAAAAAATACAAAATATCGAAAACTGGCGACACGAATCGACACATTTGAAAATCAATCATTTTAATGTCAGAAATGTCACCCTCTGAAGAATGCTGGAACATTATATTGTTTGTCCAAAAGTCCCCATGGTTAAGAACCCGAAATGGAGATTCTGAATTGAATAAGGAAACAACTCGATCACTTGACGAAGACGCAATGTTGCGAAGTTTGTCACCAAATCTTTCGTATCCTGGCCACTTGTCAACTCTGTCGGCTACTGACAATACACAGTTCGTCACATAACTACGAGCATGAGCTTGGCCAGCACCACTATACACAGTATCACAGAAGTTGGAAATCATCATTTCCTTTGGAAGAGCGGTCGAACATGCATGAAAATATGCCAAACATTTCATAGCTTCTTTACAATGATTTAAATTTAATCCTTCGCGACGATCAACAATTTTAAATCCTTGGCGCGTTAAGTCATCCAACACAAGCACTGAATGTGAGCGAATGAAATAACATTTAGGTGCAAAACGAACTGAAACGCATTTTTCCAGTTCACACATTAACGGTAGCACAGAATCATACAAAATAATTTCTTTCTCAAATAAACGTGCGGTACGAATAAATTGTAAATTATATTCTGTTGTTGGTAAACATTTGACGATCAATGAAAATTGATTTCCATCTTGCGTCTCTACTGAAACCCGGTAGATATCACTAATGTAATTGTCCCCTGGCGCTGCGGCCGGAGCAACGTGGTACTTGATGAGGGTGGCTCGGTCGCTGTGGGCTTCTCCAAGAATAGCAGTTTTTATAAAATCTTCGTTCAACCAAGAAGGTGTCGTCATGGAATGTTGAGTCATGATCTGTAGAACTAATAAAACTGTATTAAATGTATTGTCGAAAAGAATTCACTCACGCAGCACTGGACTCCCACACTGTCCGAGACGTCTTATATAGGTTATGTCGCAGACGCAAGCAGCTGCTTGCAATTCAAAGCACTTTCCCAATACAGTCAATTATTCTCAATGTAGATCATTTTAGCTTGAGGAAACGTTGTGAAAAACGTAGAATGAATATAAAAACCGTACACACAATATATTCAGTAATTTTGAGATACTCTTTTCACATTCAACAACTCTCAACGACTCACTAGATAACTAATTGTTAGCACGCGAGAATCATATCGAATTCATGACGTATCAAAAGGAAGCGGGCCTCTTAAATAAAAAATCCATAACGAGTGTTTATTGTCTCCAAATAAATTAGTTCATTTTACAAGCATTTCATTTCTTCATTTGACTTATTTGGGAATCGTATAGCAGTGAGTTGTTAATGTTAAAAGTGAGACATGTTAAAAGATTAATGAACGAAAAGTATGAGTGAAATTTCATAAAATTGTTTGGGCATGTTGATGTTGATTTAAGGTGTTTGTTATAAAAAATATTTTTTTGTAGAAACAATTGTAAAGGATAATTTTTGATTGAACATGCAAGAAATTTATTCTGGTGCAACAGGTGCATGTCGTTTATGTTTAAGTGAATCTGAATTTCAATTATTAATATTTGGAGACACAGGGCAAAAGTTAGGCATTCATTTCAAAATTCAGTCCTGTTTTCCTTCATTGCAAGTAAGTGATTTCTAATTGTGTTGTAATATTATATGTCAATTAATTGAACTAATTAATTGGAAATAAAAATCTTTGAGCTTATTTGTTATGTCAGGTACATAAAGATTTCAAAACTAATATAAATTTTTATATCTTCAATTAAAATAGTGACAGAATACAATCCATTTTCATAAATACATTAATCCCCATTTTAAAATTTTAGTATGAAGATTAACAAAATTTTGCTTGTAAAATTGACAGGAAAAATGAAAATTCTGTGAAACTAAAACATTTACAATAGTGAAACAATAAAACTGTTATTGATCTTCTTTCTAAGTGCTGCTAATTCCATTTCATTTACAATGTTTTTCTCATGGATTCATAATAACTTAATAATAATGATAATATTTATTGAGTCACATATACAATTACAATCATGTATGACGAGTCAATATAATGTCTTGGGTGGAGAGAGCGAAGTTACATTACTGTTCAGGAGCAAACAAGGGGCCATCTCAGCATTTGCTCAAGGGACCAGGGAAACTAAACAAAACCAGTTTTTTGGGAAATCGAAAGGAGGAAAAAAGGTATTGTCAACTCTGTCATAGCATATTTTAAATATGTGGATTATAATATGTCCTTAAAAGTACAATTCCTGCACATACCCTAGATTTCTTCCCAGAACATCCTGGCACAGTGAGTGATAAGCACAGGGAACACTTTCATCAGATTTTAGCTATGGGAAAGATATAACAAAGCAAATGGAATCTTACTTCACTGCCAATTCTTGTTGGGCCATTAAGTGAGAGACTCCACAGGTGAAATATAGTCATTTCACATATTTGAATTTACGAGAAAAAAACTATCAGTATCACATATTTTTCTTTCCACTCCCAAAAAGGCCTAGAGTTTTCATTTGTTTTTGTTCTTTTATTTAGCAAAATTGATTTAAATATTTTATTTATGTAAGAATTATGTAATTATTTAAAAATAATAATGTATAGTTTATACATATCTATATATCTATAAACATCAATGCAAAAATAATAAACAATATAATAAAAAATGTTTATTAATATCATCATCATCATCATCATCAATTGTAAGGTGTTGAGGCTTAACAGCCTGTGCCATTAGTTATGCAGTAATCCTGGTGTTCCTGTTGTTGCCACTTCTTTTGTAGTCTTCCAACAGCTCTGTTCCTTGCTGGTTTATGTTTCCATATTAATTTTGGTCATCTGTTATTGTTAATTCTTTAAATGTGATCTTGTCATTGTCTTTGAAAGTTTTCTATTTCTTCTACTAAGTCTTAAGTTTTTAGTTTCTTTCTAATGTCTTTGTTTTTCAGTCTGTCCCTTCACATAACTCCTACTTGGTGTCTCAGAAATCTCATATGTGCTGCTTGAATGTTTTTTCTCTCTCTTTCATTATCCATGTCTCAGAGCAGTATATAGCTTTAGGTACAGCCGTTATATTTTGAATTTTAAGTTTTGTTTTTGCATCCATGTCTCTGCCAAAGTGTCATTTAATTATTCCACAGATTCTGATGTATTTATACAATTTACTTTCTAAACCCTCCTGGGTGTGGTTAAATACACTTATGATATTTTGAAGATATGAAAATTTGTTAACTTGTTCCACTATCTCTTCATTTATTACAAATATTTATAATTTAACAAAAATCTGGCCCCCTCTAAAATGATTGGCTGGATCCGCCCGTTCAGCAAGTGTTATTACATTCTAAAAAGAACATGCTTTTCAATTGGAAGATCATAATAATACCTTTTTTCAGAGTGTTATTCAGCTGTTCACATATATATTCACTGTTAAATAGGAGATTGTTCAGGCATAAACAAAAGTGTATTAGTTCATCAATATTTTGGAACATATGTTTTAAAGGACTTTCTGTAAAACAAAAATATTACCTTAGGAATATGCAATCCAATGTAAAAGTATGCGGTTCTTCTTTTTATATTACATGACCACAACTTGAACCTGATGTGATAAAAAACAGGATATATTATCATTATCAGCAAACCTGCATTATATTATAAAATGCAACATACAAATGTCGAAACAAAAAGTTCAACTTACTAAAGGAGAGTGAATTAAACTCCAGGAGGTGTAGAATGATCTGATATGTGTGGGATATCTTCTTTGTCAATGTATTTGTTTCAATCATTCTTTTTCCTAGGTGACAGAACATGATGGATTACCTGACAGTATATGTTATAGATGTCTATTTTCTCTTGAACAAACATATGACTTTTGGACAAAATGCTGCACAACAGAAGCTATATTGAGTAAAAGTCATTTACAAAAGAAACATCAGGTAAAAATATTCTATAAATTGCTCTAATATTTAACATGTTTTGAGAAGCTATGCAAAAGATCATCTTTTCCATTTGACATTAAATTAAATTGGAAAATTGAGTATTACATTTATTTAGAATTACATGTATCTCATTGTCCATGATGTGTTTCTTGTATTTCTTCTTGTAATCCCAATTAATAATTCATAAATCTGATTTGCAATTTCTTCTCTCTAAATGTACTACCTTCTTCATATAATTCTGACAATAACTCCTCATTTACAAAAAAGAATATTTTTGAAAAATAATTTTAAATGCACTACATGCAAATTAGATCTACACTATGCGTCCACTTCATGCACTACATGCAAAAGAGACTATCAAGCTGCAAGAAAACAGGAAAATTTCATCCATAATCACTATTTCCTCTTAGGTAATTCCTGAGCAAAAGATAATTAATTATCAGCCAAAAGAGGCAACATTTCCATACACTGCCGATGACAGTGATTGGGACGAGTGGTTTATTTGGGATGCCACTTATAAAATATCGCAATCTGAAAATCAATATTCTAAGCAGATGCCAATCACTCATCATTCTAATAACCAAGGGAAGAATCCAAATCTTATGTTTGTAAGGAACTTTTTCTTTTGTTGCTTATTTAATGGAAAAGAGTATAGCATTTATTAATCCAAATGTTTCTGATATGAATATTTTTTTAAGCAATCTGGTGGGTATGAAGATACCAGTCAACAACACATGAGAAAGAAAAATAATAGTTTATTTAAATATGACTTTCTTCAAGAAGATGTACCGTGGATTAATGAGAACAAAGTCATGATGGAAACAGTTGATTCTCACCCGTGAGTTTTTCAATGATTAGGATACTATCTGTGAATTGAAAGTATCTTTGAAAACAGTAGTACAATTTCAGTAGATACTATAGTTGTATTTTGATCACTATAGGGGCACACATCCTAAAAGAAGAGGGAAAAGGGTAAACTACATTGATGGCTCCCCTTTTCCCTTATACTTATTTATTTACATATAATATATCAACTAGTAAATAATTAAAACATACTCCAAGGAAAGTTAAATTGTAACTTAAATGATACAATTAATAAATACAATTGATTGTATGTTGAACCATTTACAAAGTTGCCAGATGACTTAGAGAGTCTCTTCCTCAAATATGTTTGAGGAAGAAAATATGAAATGTAATAATTCTCCAAATTCAGGTTTAAAAATAAGGAAAACCAAAGATGTAACGTATTTATTAAAATAAAATGTCTTATTATGTAAAACTTCAAGTCCCCTTTTAAAATTATCAAGGGGACTATGGCCCCCTGATTACATAGTGGTAGAGAAGCATACATAAGGGTTGAAAATGTCATAATTAAGTAATATATAAAGCTGATATATATTTTTTTAACATAGCAACACTTACTGAAATAATTTATTTTATTCAATCATATTAACATCAAAATATTAACATATTAATTTAAAGAATACAAATGGATTGAAAAGTTAATATTAATAAATTGTTGCAATATATTGAAATATTTTTTCATCAATGAATCATTTCAATCATTGAATCTATTAAATTATGAAGAAAATATGCAAAATTGATATATAATATATTGCAGAATCCATTTAAAGGGGCTCAGTGGACTCAGAGCTCATGTATCATTCATGATGGCATGTGCTCGGCTAGTTATCAGAAATTTTCCTGCCAACATATCTTTCTTCCATTCAAAAATTGTTCCGTCTTATTGTTAGGTGCAGTCCACACCTCAAAATTACCAACTAATTCTGACTTTATCCTAATTGTTAATATATGAGTGTAACATAAATAAACTTAATTGTTAAACTAGTTATTGCTATATAATTTATTTTTAATAATTGTAAATGGGGGATCTTGTTAATACTGCATGTGTAGGGGTTTCAAGTACATATTAAAGGTGTGATACAGGGGAAATGGGGTGTTCAAAATACTTCTAATTTACATTATGTAATTTATGAAGAACCCTTTAGTAGCTGATAATTTTATTTGCTATTCTATGCCACTCTTGGGAAAGAAAATAATGTACATCTTTATTACATTTCTAGTTGTATCTTTTTTTTTGTTGGCAAATATTTAATTGTTTGAATGCAACAAGGCAAACTTGTCACGTAACTTTTGCCCAAACAAAATTTGTAATGAAACCAGCCAGATTGGAAGAGTATATCATAAATAGCATTCTTTTAGCATTACTTACATCATAGATTGAAACTTTATATATAGTTCAAAGGCCATACTTACACGCCAAAGATCAAATGTGGTTTTAATGACTAATGTTTCCTACCTCTGGCTTAGTAAAATGAATAAAACATTGTAATCCCCACAATGTATTTGTTGAAATAAATCAATCACATATTATAGATAAAATATATTTGTAAGATATCAGGTGTCATTTCAGATCAACTTCAAAAACGAATGCAACAAATTTTTCTTCAAGCTTTTGGAAACAGAGCTCATTAAATACAAAGGTAAATATGTTTGGTTTAATTGTTTGTAATTTTATGAATTTCAATTGAACAATCAGATTTGTTTTATCAGATGCAGAAATACGTTAATCCTTTGGCCAGTTCTTTATACTCTCCTTTTGGCGAGTTCAAAAAGGAATTTCAAAAAGTCTATAATTCAGAAAATTCAGAGCACTCTAATCCAA